GAACCACGGACCCGGACTGGCACATTGCGAAACGTAATAAAGCAATGATCATCGACGTCACAGTGCCATTGGAGAATAGATTATACGCCGTAAAAGAATTTAAACAGAGGAACATAGAGCAATGTCAGGATCTAGCGAGGGCCCTGTGTGGGCGATTTCAAGAAGCTAAACCTGACGCATTCCTTCTCGGTTCGTCGGGATCCTGGGACCTCGAGAACGATAAGGTTATGAAGACTATGTGCTCGCGTATATACTTTAAATTATTTAAGAAACTGTGTGACATCCTGTTTTCAGTTCAATTCCGGAAAGGCTACCTGAGACGGTCACGAACTGGACTTTAAGTTGTAAATCCGGTTTTATGCTATGCGGACTGGTGTCTGCTTTTGACAATAGGAACGGCAGTGGCGGATGTGTAATCCTTACCCCAAGCCAGAGGTGCGTTGAGGTGGTACCTGGAACAGCAATGGTTAGAAAGGAAAGTAGCGGGTGTTTTTATGGAGGTGCGTCACAATAGCATCAACATGTAGCAAGGGATTTGGGCTTTCGGAATACGACTCAATAATTTCTTATTTCTATAAATTATGTCAAGGTTCTTAATCCTAGTATACACTTTCACCCGTTCTGCCATCTACTAGGGATTCATGTACTTCTGTCTCTCTCTCTCTCTGTCGCACACCAGCTCCGCCGCGTGACAACAGAACTCCAAGGTTCAATAACAGATGGTACAACTAAAGCTGAAAGAAAGAGAAAACCTCATCCACACACTTATTACGCCAATACACGTACTTAACATCATTCTGCCATCGTCACCACAGTCATTTAGCAGGTCAGTACAGTGGTAATGGTCGGCACTTAGCCGATTCCAACCATCAGGCTATCATCACTCAGCTTTTCAGCGGTTTTCCTCAGTAACTACAAAGTGCCTCTCTACCTCGTCACCTGCTTCATCACCGAGCGTCTTTAATAATCTTATAACTAGTTTCGTATTTTCGAAGTTCCAGAAGGCTGCACATTTTTCTTGGTGCCCTTGTCGGAGGTGAATACCCATTCCATACTGCCTTGTTTTTTGTATATTGAGGGAGTTGTAAAAATGTCGAAAATCCCCGTTTCGTAATACCCTACACTCTGTCAATTTAATCTAATCATATCATCTGTCTACAATAAATACCTAATCACGCAGCGGTAGATTGGGTAACATCATAGAAGGCATTGTTAAAAATAGTCACATTTAAGAAGTGTAGTGTAACAGTCCAAATTACATCTTCCGCTGATGTTGACTTAATCATACTGTTTAATTTATTATTATTCATTAACCTGAATTTATTTTAGTTTCCTTTTCAAAATTGTAACTTTGTGTGGTGTTTGGAGTGTTGTACTGGGATAGATACTACCATTTCATGGCATCTACCCAAGTGGTTAAGACACAGATGTGCGAGGAACTTCGAGGCTTGGAAGTTTTAGTTTTGACATTAATGGGTAATAATTTGCTGTGAATTGGGTGTAGCGCCATGTGTCACACTCTGACATTTATGGCTTCAGTATGCTGAAAGTCAGTCATTGATGGAACGTACTGTTGCACACATAATGGGATGTGACGTCCCACCATTGGCTAACGAAGGCAATCAAGGTCATTGTTCGAACACACTGCTGTACGATAATTATCTCCTATGTAGGATTTGAGCTTTTTGCAGCATTGAGTATGAAGATTTCTGTTTTCTGGGTTGTTGCGCTGTGTAGTCTGGTCGATGTTAACCAACGTTTCAGAGGGCATGCTGCCTCCGTCATCAGGGCGATGATGACAGAGGCGTATGACCTCTGAAACGACGGTGGAAATCTACCATACTACACAGCGCAACAACCCAGAAGACATCCACTTTCAATTATCTAGTAACTTACAAGTTCCAAGCAATTTTGAAATTTTGCATAAAAAGTTAAGATTTGTTTTGCAGTAATTAATGAACTGTTGGATCTAAAAAAGTGAACTTCACTATAGCGAGGAAATATAATAATAATGTTGACTTTCAGCATAAAAACACACACAAGGAAAACTCCCGAGTTGCCTAGACCACGGCCTTGCCCAACAAAATTTATAAATCCAGACACCGCCGGGAATCGAACCCGGGACCCCAGGATTACAAGGCCAGCGTTCTAATCGCTAGACCTCTAGCCTTTGCGTCCTGACCGGCTCTGGGGCCCACCCAGCCTCCTCTACAATGGGTACTGGGTTCCTTTCCCGGAGGTAAAGCCAGCCGGGGCGTGATGCTGACCACTCACCCCATCTGATGCCAAGGTCAAGAAAGAGTAGGAGCTATACCTCCTCTCCCCCCAAGCGCCTTTACAGCACGTAGCGGGACAAACTTTACTTTTTATTACTTTAAGTATGATTTTCAACATAATAGACAATATTACCCATTTTAATTTAATTTTTTCTAAGATCCAACACCTTATGTTTGTATTTAAATGTTCCCTATCCCATGTCAAAATCAATCAGTATGTCATCCTGGTTCCACCAGAGTCC